TTGTAACAACTAAGGCAAAAATGTAATTAATTCAGAAAATATTTTCAGGACCCCACCTTGATGTTTCGGGACCCCACTTTGGGTCCCGACCCCAACTTTGGGAAACACTGATCTAGAGGACCTACTAATTTTTTTTTCTCACACAGAGCTTTTGGTAAGAGAAAAGGAGTAACAACAAGATTTCCAAAGAGTAGATTTTTCAAATGCTCAGCTCATGGTAAATTTCTGTGAACTCAAACCAACTATTGAGAAACAATAATGTAGTAGCCTATTTTTTTGCATAACCTTTGTTGCCCCGTGCTCTAAAAATTTAAACAAAGCATTTCTTTAAAACATTTATAAAACTACTTTAAAAAAACAGGATATTTTTGACATCATAACATGGTAAAAGTAAAAAAAAAAAAATCCAGTCATACTGTTGCACACAACAGAACAGTCAGTACAAAGATGTCACAAAGATAATTATCCAGCCTAAAACCAAACATCTTTCATCAGCTGATTTAAACCACTTTAAAACTCAGCTGAGAAGATTAGATTTTTTAATTCTGGAACAAAGWTACAAAAAAATCCTATGTTCCTAATTTGTGGTACCAACTCCTGAAATTAGCTTCCCAAAAACAGTTGAGTGCAGCCTGGTTTTATAGTTCGATATCAATGTAGAAATGCTTTTAAAATGATAATCGGTGCAAACTGCTTAACTTTGCCAGGTTCTGCAAAGCACTTTAAAGTATTTCTCATTTACACACAAACACACATATAGCAATATGTGTGTTTGTGTGTAAATGAGAAATACTTTAAAGTGCTTTTTTTAAATTTTATTTTCCACATTGAGCACTTTTAAATTATTGCTTGTAAACCAACAGGCAAACTGGAAGGTGGTTGGAGGTAGTAGTGAGATTTTGTACCTTTTGTTTGTACCTTAAATTTTGKACCAAAAAAATTCTTTACAAAAAAATTACCTTAGAATGCAAAAATATACCTTTAAGGCTACAAACAYAAGGTACAAATAAATACCACTGGTTACTGTACTTTTTTAGGTTACAGCAGGAACATCCAAACTAGTGTACTTTTTAAGGTACATTTTAGTATCTTGATTTCTAACTGTGGATGTGCATGTAAACACTGGCTTAGATAAGCATCAAATAACTTGTCAGCTTTTTTTAAATGAAAGACCTTGCAGAAAGGATTACACTGTTTTTAGTTGTCCCATATATATATTTTTTCCTGTGTAAGTACACTTTTTACCTTCCAGAACTCTTTATTTAGAGTTAAAACAAGTGTTAGGATTAACATATGACACTGTATTTATTACCAGATCCTACTCTTTGGCATTCTTTGCCWGCGCAGATTAGGAGGTTGGTGTTTCAACGAGTCAAACAGACAAGTGTGTTGTCAAACATGTAAGATTGCATAACATACAGCAGTAGCACTTTGCGTGTCTACCAATTTATCCACCGTGCGTTTGTGTAGGAGGGCATGTGTTTATGTGTGTGTAAACACTGCCAGAACCATGCCTCTGAATATGTCTCAGCAGCCATATGAACTGCTCGGCTGCTGAGTGGGAGAGGAGCAGAGGAGTAGGAGGGAGAGAAGATAGGAGGCCTGACCTTGYAGATGATTCAGTCAATGGTGTAATCACAACCGTTCCTCAGAGTCTTCAGTACAAACAAGGGGTTACCAGCGAGGCAGTGCTCACTTTTGCTCTCTCTTCTGCTTATTTATTGTTTTGTCTGTCAATTTTTCTGTTTTTATTTTTTATTTTTTTTGGTTCTGGGGCAGATTTTTCTGGCTCGTGTGTAGATAAAGGTTGTGGCGGCTGTGTGTGTGTGTATTGGTGTAAGAAGGGTTAGCTCATACACAGCAGCTTTATTAACTGTGTCACATTATGAACTGGAGGGATGCCTGTGATATTATTTTTCCCCCCATCATATGCAAATTTTATAATGTTTCTTAATGCACGTTTATTATTTGTGTTGTGTAATATTGTTTATGTGCCGTCATTGTGACATATGGACTTTTCCCATAAAGCTATTGTTTCAGTGGATTTTTTTTTCTYGTCCCGGGAGAGATGAGAAATATATTACTGTTTCATTGTGTCTTGTTGCCCATCTTTCATTGTGTTTTATTATCCTCAGTATGGTACTATGCTGGTAATATGACTTATGTAAGCACTGTGCAATTTCCTTTTTTTTTTTTACAATGATGTATTAAGAAACGGTTCTGCTGTAATGTGTACATACAGTAAAAAACTTTTCAGTAAATAAATTGAGAATAGTTTTAATCTTTTTTTTAAATTAATTCCTCGTGATTGTGTGTGCTCAAACGTTCACAAATGGTTTATCTCCTTAGTAACACCCCAAAGGAAGCCACAYATTAACAAGCAAATAATACGTTCATTTTCTTGCTGCTACCACATTTACATGACATTAGTGACTGGAAAATATTAAAGGAAAAAGAATCAAGGAAAYTTTATTGTCATTCACATCACATGTGGTTCATGAGGTGGTAGTAAACTGGTTGCCCAAGTCCTGGTTGATTGTGAGAATAAGAACATTTTTTAATTAAAATAAAGAGCAATCATAAACAATAAAATAATTCAAAATAAATGTTAAGATGGCAGCAGCAGTTAAAATGAGATGAAATGAGATGGTGTTGTTTTGAATAATGCTAACACCCGAACTCCTAGGGCACCACTCACAGAACACGTTTTAAGCCTTTTCTAAATCCACCAAACACAAGTAAACTGGACAATCAAAGTCAGAGAAGTTGAAGATCAGCTTTACTGTTAAACTGTTTGATAAAAACTGGATTTTGAGGTTTGATGGTCGGTCGCAGCCTCCCTCTGAGCACTGTAGAGCCAAAGGTTTCCCAGCAGGCATGCCCCCATCGTTGGAACCCAGCAAAATATAACTTTTATTTAATTGTGCTACTATATTTAAAACTAGTTTGAAGGAGACATATCCTGCCAAATCCACTTTTTTAGCCAGTAAATGCATTATGTTGTSTACTTGGAGTCTCTAGGAGTGCAAAAAGGTTGAATTTAGCCTCTCTTGGTGTAGCAKAGACATCTTTATTTTCTGTTTGTGCTATGTTATTAAACTACAGTGAACCTCACTGGAGGCTGGAGGGGGGTGGGGTGTAAAGCACCTTGTTTGCATCTAAAGAGACAGCCTCAAAACGAGTTGATCTGAGACATGCCTCAGAACAGTGGTGAAAGAGGGGATTGTGGAGTTACAGTAAGGAGGAATTCAGACCAAAGCATTGCTGTTTCCACTTCTGAATGTGAAAAAAGAAAGGATTCAAAAGCATAATATATCTCATTTAAGTTTTTTTTTTTTTTTCAGACGGGTATAAAACAGTTTTGCTCCATAAATAAAATGTTTCAAACAGGAGGCTATTTGTCAATCAATCCTCAAAAGAAACAAGAGGTCTAAAGACAAAATACTAAACTGTGCTTTTCACCAGAGAAGTTCTGAAAGATGACAAACTCCTGCTTAAACAACTGCAGCACTAACTCAATGTGTGGCTGCACATTTGTTGAATAACAGGCACACAAAGAGACAAATCATCTGTGTTCCTCCGTCTCTTTAATCTCCGCTTCTGATAAGTTCCTGGAACAGCTGGGCAGAAGGTTTTTGTCAAGAGCTGGATTAAATTCTAATAACATCCTTTCGTGACTATGATGCTGATGAAGACAAAAGTATAATTTATGACGTTCAACTCCAGCAGCAGGGCAGATTTTAGAAAGGGCTTCGTTGCAACACAGAGTTCTTTCCAAATCTGCATTAGCTCCATGAAGTGGAAAGGCTTCTGCTCTGTTTTATCTGATCAGAATGAAAATAAAGACACCCTACACATTGTAGTACTGGGTACAGGAGTAAAATCAAGGTCAAACCGAAGAGAGCAGGCCAAATAGTGGGAGTTTGCTTAAATTGTGAAAGGGGAAAGAGTGGTTTTAACCCCAAATATTAACTCAGATGGGAGTTTAAAGGCAGTTTGAAGTAATTCTGCTCTGCCCATTCCTGCTGAGTCACAGTCTGTTTT